AGCTCTTTTCTTCTTCTTCTTTTAGCAAACATCTGCTAATATTCATACATTTACCTAAGTAGGTGAGGTTACAAGGCAAATAAGACAGCTTTGAAGGAAAATTATTAACCGTCCCAGGCAGCTTTTGCAGATGAAGCAAATGACTCCGTATGTAGTGTCCAAAGCAGCAGACAGCATAGATGTCCTCCATTATTCCATAATGTAACCTACGGGGGTGAAGACAAAAACAAAACAAAACAAAACAAAAACAAAATGCGCCATGAGCCTCAAAAAGGAAGTGTAAGTATTCCACATTATCAACTTAGAAACAGGAAAAGTACCCCCCCCCCCAAAAAAAAAAAAAAAACGTTCAAAGAATTCGCTTTTCTGCACGTTCCTAGAAAATGCCGCAAATCTCAAAACGGGGGCGCAACCTGGGGATCCTCTTTTTTTGTTTTTTTTTTTTTTTTTGACGTGCAAAGGAACGGAGACGCAGAGACCGAACCGTGCGCACTGACACCTGCTAAATGGGACTGATCGTCAGCCCCGTCCGGTGCCCCCCTCCCTCCACCCTCACCCCCCAATCTGACTTTGGGATTAACGATGCTCCAGCCAAACAAATGAGGAATCTGCTTTCAGCAGAAGAGGATTGGGATGACGGGCGGAGAGAGACAGAGAGGGGGGGGGGCGGCAGGTGGGGACGGCACTAGCCAAACAGATGTTTCTCTATATTACCCAGAGTCCCCTCTTCATCGCCTAACCTGCGTCCTTGAAACCAGAAGGGACATTTTTCTCCGACTATCCCAGTTCGTGTGAGAATATGTAGGACGGGATGCGGCTCTACGGCGGCTCGGACAACTCAGCCTCAGCGTGTGCTGCGAAGTCCCTAATCTGGCGCTGGACTGCGAACAGTTATGCAACATTGCACTATTGGAGGGAAAAAAAAAAAAGGGAACACTTGTGAAGCAACGCTCACACTAATACAGGATCGTTCTGAGCATGCGCACACGCACACGTCCGCGCACTCCCTCGCATACAGTGATGGAGGGAGGGATGCTGGAGGGGAGCGAATGCTGCATTTTGGCTTTGATGTGAAGAGCTGTGCAATCAGTGACATTTAGTAAAACCTTAACACTGTTTTTCCCCATATGTCATCAGAAGGACGTAGAACGAGGGGGAAGCAATGCAAAGGCTCTAGTACCTGTCACATTTAGTGAATATTATAAAGACATGTTCGTATCTAACGTCATACGCTGAAATTCGCACAATTCGCGTTCAACACCAACCAAATTCCATTGAAGTCAGTACTGACTGTACGTGCTTAAGACCCTGAACGCATCTAAGCCGGGAAAAAGCTCCTTCTATTCCAACTGAAGGGCAAAAAATTGACAGAACTGGGAATAGAGAGGCGCAGGCATAGCACATATGTTAACTGCGTTGAATACACTCGCTGTTACGGAGAGGAGATGGATACAGAAACAAAGGAAATCACCGGTTGTCACTCTGAGAGACGACTCCATCCAGGGCGAATCATATCGGTTATCCCTGCTCTGGGTTTTTGGGTCTCTGACCACCAAAGGGGAAAGTAAGAGAAGGGGGTAAAGGAAAGAAAGAAAAAAAAAGAGAAAAAAACCCCGACCCTATTGTCCTGAAGCGCCGCGCTGCAGCTCGAAACACACCGTCCTCTTTTAGCCCTTCATATAGATTATGCAATTGTCGACATGAAACGATTTGCAGGTTGCAGCCTGCGCCGGTTTGCACATGTTTTAGCGATATATATATATATATATATATATATATATATATATATATATATATATATATATATATATATATATATATATATATATATATATATATATTTTTTTTTTTTTTTTTTTTCATAATAACATCTTAAACCCCAGAACCCCCCAAAAAAATTGAG